TTGGCTTTTTGGCTTTTTTGGCTATTTTAGCCTGGGCTAAAAAGCTTGGTTTGGGAAGGACTTTTTAGTTTTTTGGCTTTTTTGACTTTTTTTGTGAGAGAAGAGTGTAACGATTATGGGTTGGATGTGATGTTTTGTTTGTTGTGGCTAAAATAGCCTGTTTTGTCTTTTGTGACTATTTTAGCCCCAACCCAACTTGCCAAACACCACCTTGAGGTTGCATATTTCAATTACGTAGGATCTGGACATATTGGACAGCAAAGTGCATTAATTGAGGTTGCATATTTCAGACCCTAATAATTGTCCATAATGTGTATACTGTAGCACATCTAAGTGCTAGTCCATCAATTTATGTGTTTGATTATCAAAGCCTCGTCTTATACTAATTTTTAGACTTTTCTTCTGATTCATATTCAAAGTTAGGTTTTTTAAATTAAAAAGTGAACTATTGTTATGTAAAAAACTAACAATTTCTCACCTGATTGCATAAAAAGACACATCGTGACATTTTTCTTTGTGGCATTTTTGTTCCTTTGTGTAGTTTTGTTGGTGTTTCTCTCAATGGTTATTTAATTTCAAAGGGGTGTTAACCTTAATAATCAGCAGTGTGGTGGTGGGTGGAGGAGGAAGGGCTAGGGTTAGACCCTTTATATTGATTCGAGGAAGAAGATGAAACAAGGGACATACCTTATGGAGGTGAAATGTTGGCATGTTATCAAAGCTTAATTATACAAACAATAGCAATAGATAAATCTAACACAAACTAAACTAAACAAAACTAAACCTTTGTCCTAATCAAGTGGGCAACTACATGAATCGTTTTTCGTCATTTCGCTATGTCAAGGGCTCTATGCAGATAGCAATAGATATCTAATTCAATATTTCTAGTTGCCTGGAGAGGTTATCAATTTTATGTACTTTTCAGTTTTCAACACAATATCTAGATGTCGAGAAATTTATAGTGCTTGAAGGTAGCATATAGATTACATTCTCTGCCACTTGTTTATTTTTATTTTTATTCTTTGGGGACAATACATTGTCAAATAGGTAAATTTTGGAAATCATTACATTTGCAGATGTAGTTCATTGCTTTAGGGCATGTATAGAAACCACACTTTTGTCATCTCTCTCTCTGTCTCTCTCGTTATGATATTAAAATTCCTTTATGCTCTATAGATATATTGATGCATACATTTCTTTACAATGCAGATATCTGCAAGGGAAGCAAAGTTGGAGTTTGCTATGGAAGAAATGCCGATGATCTCCCCACACCAGATAAAGTAGCACAATTGGTTCAACTTCATAACGTCAAGTATTTGAGGATATATGACTCTAATATCCAAGTTCTCAAGGCATTTGCAAACACCGGCGTTGAGCTCATGGTTGGGATTACAAATTCAGAAGAGTGTAGTACTTGTACTGTAGAGTGAGAGAGAGCGAGAGAGACGTTGTAATAGAAAAGAAGAAAAAAAAGAACGTTGCAAAAGAGTAAAGTAAAGATAGCAACAAATAAGTAGGGATAGAGCAGAGGAGGAGAAGAAGAAGAAGACGAAGAGGCTTTGGACCGCAATGGCGAGAGGGTTCAGGCTCATATTTGCGACTTCTCTTCTCCTAATGCTTCTGGGTTTGTGCTACATTCCTCATTCTTCATCTCTCCCTCTCTCTCTCAATATATATATAAACACATGTATATGTATTTATATATGCTTGTATTTGTGTATATGTGTGGATTTTGGGAGCATTTTATTGTTTTGGGCATCTGATTTGATCTTAATTTGTTGGTATCAGCATCTGATTTTTAGGGTTTTTTGTTGAAGCTTATCATCGTTGAACAGAGTATGGAACAAATGTTAATGTTTTCTCGCTCACAATCTCATTCTGCTCTGTTTTGTGCCTAAAATCATCTTTTTTGGAACTTGTGTTCCTCGTTTCTACATTGTTTCTTTCTGGGTTCTTTCACTGTACATACGTTAGACTTGTACATACATTGGACTTATACATACATACATACATACAATGTGTGGTTGGTTGGAAGTGATGATAGTACATACATCTATGCATGTATAGAGAAGTTATTTTGGGGTCTTGGACCAATGTTTCACACCATTTATGCTGTGATACTTGTCTTGTTGTCTCTCAAAAATCAACCATAATGGAAAAAAGTCATGGGTCCCCTTATTTAAACCAATGGAAATGGAAGTAAAAATCAAGTTGGGAGCACTATATAATTTTCCATACGTATAGCCCTACTTTACTCTTTGAAAAAGACAGGCACAGTGCACGAGACTCTCACAATCTGGTACAAAGCTTACCCACATATGGTATGGAGAAGCTATTTCCGTGGTTTGAACACATTTATTGAGGTTGCATATTTCAATTACGTAGGATCTGGACATATTGGACAGCAAAGTGCATTAATTGAGGTTGCATATTTCAGACCCTAATAATTGTCCATGATGTGTATGCTGCAGCACATCTAAGTGCCAGTCCATCAATTTATGTGTTTGATCATCAAAGCCTCGTCTTATACTAATTTTTAAACTTTTCTTTTGATTGATATTCAAAGGTTGGTTTTTTAAATTAAAAAATTAGCTGTTGTCATGTAACAAACCAACAATTTCTCACTTGATTGCATAAAAAGACACATCCATGACATTTTTCTTCGTGGCATTTTTGTTCCTTTGTGTAGTTTTGTTGGTGTTTCTCTCAGTGGTTATTTAATTTCAAAAGGGTTGTTAACCTTAATAATCAGCAGTGTGGTGGTGGGTGGAGGAGGAAGGGCTAGGGTTAGACTCTTTATATTGATTCGAGGAAGAAGATGAAACAAGGGACATACCTTATGGAGGTGAAATGTTGGCATGTTATCAAAGCTTAATTATACAAACAATAGCAATAGATAAATCTAACACAAACTAAACTAAACAAAACTAAACCTTTGTCCTAATCAAGTGGGCAACTACATGAATCGTTTTTCGTCATTTCGCTATGTCAAGGGCATCTAATACAATATTTCTAGTTGCCTGGAGAGGTTATCAATTTTATGTACTTTTCAGTTTTCAACACAGTATCTAGATGTCGAGATATTTACAGTTCTTGAAAAGGTAGCATATAGATTACATTCTCTGCCACTTGTTTATTTTTACTTTTATTCTTTTGGGACAATGCATTATCAAATAGGTATATTTTGGAAATCATTACATTTGCAGATGTAGTTCATTGCTTTAGAGCATATATAGAAATTACCTAACAATTCATAGGGCATTATCTGTCACAGCCTAATAGTTAACATTAAAACAAATTTTTTAGCGCAAATTTCAGCTAATACAACAGTTACAGAATTTTCAGCCAGAATTTCAACCCAAATTTCAGCTAATACAACAGCTACAGATTTTTCAGCACAGAATTTCAGCACCTTCATAAACCTTAGTATCATCAGTCACAACGCCCACAACTACAGCTAATCTAATGTAAAATTCAGGCAAATGAAAATCAAATCAAAATCAAAATGATAAGCTAGTTCAAGATAGAGCAAATAGCAGATCATCAAAATGATTAGCTCAAATCATCAGTCTCAAATCAGCAAAATGATAAGCTAGGAGTTTCTTGGCTGGTTCAAATCATCAGTCTCAAGACAGATCTATATGTATATATATATACATATATAAAGAGAGAGATAGAGAACTAACCGCCGATCGTCGTCGTGAGTGATTCAATGGTCGTCGTTAGTGACTTAGTTCGTCGATTGTCGTGACTGACAGATCGATGCCCTTTATTTCGCTCTCATGGCTCTAAATTTCAGAACAATCAAGATTATGGTTACTGAGACGGGATGGCCTTCCAAAGGGTCGGCCAAAGAGACGGCTGCGACTCCGGATAATGCCCAAACATACAACACAAATCTGATTCGACATGTCATCAACGACACAGGTACCCCTGCAAAACCTGGAGAGGCGCTAGACGTGTATATCTTTTCGCTGTTCAATGAGAATAGGAAACCAGGATTGGAATCCGAGAGGAATTGGGGGTTGTTTTATCCAGACCAAACGAGTGTCTATAGCCTTGATTTCTCCGGAAGAGGTGCCGTGGATATGACTACACAAGCGAATGTCACAGGTTCGAATGGAACGTGGTGTATTGCTTCGTCTACGGCTTCAGAAGTTGACTTGCAGAGTGCTTTGGATTGGGCTTGTGGGCCCGGGAATGTGGACTGTTCTGCTATTCAGCCTAGTCAGCCTTGTTTTGAGCCGGATAATCTAGTTTCGCATGCATCATATGCATTCAACAGTTATTACCAGCAAAATGGAGCTACTGATATTGCTTGCGGTTTTGGAGGAGCTGGGGTTAAAACAAATAAGAATCCAAGTATGTATACCAAGAGTTAACCTTTATTTTTGGGGAGCTAAGAAACACAAACATTTCTAAAATTGGCATGTTGTGTTTGACATCGACACGACACGATATTCTTTAGACGCATGTCAAAACATGCCCTACTATTTTGATTGAAAATTAGACTTGGATTACACTTCAGACATTGAACACGCTGTCTATCACTTAGCATTAACGTTCAAGCTTTAGAAAATGAATGGAATCACATATATTAATGAATGGTTTTCTCATTAACCTGTGTGTTTGGTTTTCTCATTAACCTGTGTGTTTGGTTTTCTCATTAACCTGTGTGTTTGGTTTTCTCATTAACCTGTGTGTTTGGTTTTCTCATTAACCTGTGTGTTTGGTTTTCTCATTAACCTGTGTGTTTGGTTTTCTCATTAACCTGTGTGTTTGGTTTTCTCATTAACCTGTGTGTTTGGTTTTCTCATTAACCTGTGTGTTTGGTTTTCTCATTAACCTGTGTGTTTTGTCATGCAGGCTATGACAACTGCTTGTATATGATCGCCGGGTATAATTACCATCTCATATACCATTCATTTTGATTCGAAGTATTGATTCTACTTTTGTCTACTTTTTGTATTCATAATCCTGGTCTTTGTTGTGCAAATTTTACAGGAGCAACAAAACTGCTGCAAGTAACGTGACAGAGGTTCCTTCTACTTCTTCGTCCATTCAAACAGTACTCTCTTTGTGGATCTCTAGTTGCCTCCTGCTTTTGACCTTGCTCCCATTTTTCTGAACCTCAACATTGCGTGACAAAGGCTGATGTTTGGACTAAAGCGTTTTCATGCAAGCAAGAGGTGGTACGTACGAGAAATTTTTTGCAAGAGTTACATATGCCAATGGAGGTACCTAGTTTTGTGTGATATCTATTGGTAGGTGCGTATTAGGTAGATGGGTTGCAAGACTAGTCCCTTAATGGGATTTTAGATGCCCTATAATTTGTTGATTCTTGTATGCATATATAGGATAGCTAGAACAAAACTTCTGTTGTGGATTGGCAGCTTAAGATGTGAGTTGTCTACTAGTACTTGTAAGCTATATATTTGAGGTCCAAGTTGCTAACGTTTTGTTTTATGAGATACATTTTTGTTCCAAGTTTTGATCAAATCCCAGTATTTAAATTCTCTCTGTGATAATTGATAGAGAGGAGTGCACAGAATCCCTATGAACTGATCGCAGCTCATTTTGAGGCTGTTGAGAGTTGTATTATGCATTTAGGTTATGTTCACATTATAGAAATTTTGAGGCAGAATGAGAATCTTATTACTAGGAATGTCATTTACTAATAATTTATTTTTTATTTTTTTATTTTTATGTTTTTTAATTTTTTTATAATGTTAATGGCATTTTAAGCCTTGTGTTTCGTTGGGAATTCTTTATGAAAAATTATAAAATTATAAATATTGTGTTTAATTATGTTTTTATTTTTGGCTCTTGAATGGATAATATTCATTCACAAGTGCAAATGTAAAGTTGAGGAATATGATTTCACTTATTGATAACCTATTTAGCATTTAAAATTGAATTTATCTAGTAAAAAAATTAAGTCCTTCTAATAATCATAATTTCTATTAGGGTAAATTACACTTTAACCCTTTTGGTTTACTTTAACCCTTTTGGTTTACCTAAAAAATTACGGAGTCTCTTTATAATTTCAATTGTTGCACTTCAAAACTCTTTGAAGTTTATATCAAAGGGCAATTTCGGACAACAGCAACAGAAGTTGTAAAAATCTAAAGTTACGTTATTTCTTTCTCTAATTTTCTTCTTAGTGCCATTACAAATTATAATATTTTCTCATTTTTCTTTAATTCTTATGTATTCTTTTCCTTTTCTTCTTCTTCTCCTCTCATTTTTTTCTCATCTCATGGCAAACCACACACCTCTCATACTATCATTAAATACATATGGGTAATGTTAGGGATACTAAATTTTTTACTAAACAAATAACCAAATGTCTCGCATGGGTTGCGGATTTCACATGGGTTGCGGATCTCATACCTATGTGAGACATTTGATCATTTGTTTGGTAGAAAATTTGAAACCTATAGCATTTTTCAATATATATATATATATATCTCTTTAGAATTTAGACCCAAACAAAGATTCATCTCTCTCTCTCTAGAATTTAGATCCAAACAAACACTCATCTTCTTCTCTCTAGAATTTAGACCCAAACAAATAGTTCATAGTTGCAAACACTTATCAAGCTCATCCCATCTCCTTCATTCAGCTAACACCCACCATCTTTTCCTTTCACGGCACCCATGGTGGCAGCCACCACTATAATTTGGGTCTTGGCTTAATTAATTGGATATGCCTATTTATATACCAAGCTCATCCCATATCCTTCACTCAACCAATGCCCACCACCTTTCCCTCTTACGGCACCCATGGTGATAGTCACCATTATAATTTTGGGTCTTGGCTTAGTTAATTGGATATGCCTATGTATATAATGTATGTGTGTCTATAGTAATAAAGAGAAGATGAAGGATGGTGGTGGTTGTCACGGTAGTGAGAGTGTGAGAGACTACCATGGGAACCCGTGGTTTCAGTGATGGTAGTCTTAGGTCGTTGTAGGAAATGATGAAGAAGGATAAAAGGGAGATGGTGGTAATACGTGTAACACGGCAACAGTGAAAGGAGGCATATGACGGTGGATGGAGAAGTAGAAGCGAGAGAGGTTGAGCTTGGTTAGGTTAATTTTAATTTTTAGATTGACTTTATTTGAGTTAAGAGAATGATAGACATACATTTTAGAAAATAATGAAACAAAAATGAAAGGGAAAGATGGAGAAACGAGGGAGATAAGCTAGAGAGGGAAGTATTTTAGAGAGAGAACAAACGTCTCTGGTTTTCAAAAAGAAGAAGGTAAGGAATTATCCAGTATGGTTGATGAGAGAAAATTTTGATTTTATGGTTGTGCAACACACTCTGTTGAAAAAAACGGTTTCGTCTGAAATTGGACTTTCACTACAAGAAAAGGGGTCAAACAACACGGAAGCAATAGCGACGGCGCGCCTCCCGTCGCAAAAAATGGGTTTTTGCGACGGCAACTTATACCGTCGCAAATAAAGGCGTTAGCAACGGCGTTTGTCCTGTCGGCAATAAAACCAAGCGGATAGTTATTAAATGCTGAATTATTAGCGACAGCGTTTTTTTACTGTCACAAAAAATATTAGTTTTGAGACAGCATGTGTTTGCTGTCGCAAACAATGGACATTTGCGACGGCAACTTCCGTCGCAGAAAGGGGCTTATTAAAACGGCGCCGTTTTATGATGTAATTAGTAACCATCGGCGACAGTGTAAAACGAACCGTCGCAAAAAGTTAAAAAAAAAAATTACCTCTGCCCTTCCCTTTCATCTTGCCGCTCGATGATTTCAGCCAAATCCCTAAATCTTCGAAACATTTTTTTCCCCCCAAATTCCTCAAACGAGCTACGAAGGCGAACGACTCTCTGTAGCGGTGGTGCGGTGGTGCGGCGGTGCGGCGGCGACGACAACGGCTTTGGTTGGTCCGGCGACGACAACGGCTCTCTCTGCGTCTCTCTGTATATATATATATATATATAGATGAATGTATGTTCATCTGAGATTTTGCCTCCCATTTAGATTTTGCCTCAAGTCTAGCAACCATATATTTTTTTATATATATAAAAAAATAAAAGCACACATTTTATTTTATTTTTGCACCTGGAGAGAGAGGAAATATTCTCTCTGTATATATATATATATATATAGATGAATGTATGTTCTTAGTTTGCCTTATTTGAGAGGAAATATTCTCTCTATATATATATATAGATGAATGTTGTTAGTCTTTTATTGATAATACAGCGAGTGAGAGACCAAACACAGTACAAGTTATGAGGTTGATTAATGTTTTTGCACCTGGGATAAATTATACAAATAAGTGAAACTGCATTTAACAGTTCAAGAAAATATACTAATTGTGCACTGATAAAAACTATAGGTAAACATGACAACTATAGCATTGAAGTGACAAAATATAGTTCCATAAGAGCCATCGACAGATAAATATGGGTGCAATTTTCAGGTTGAGGTTCAATCAATGTTAATTACCAATTTTGCTACCAAGTGATTGAACGACTACCACTCCTGCCTTTATCTTTCATGCACTGCCATGTCAATAGCTTTTCAAAATTGCTGCATTTCTATGCTTCTAAGGCCAATAATTGACCTATTAACCAAACAGTAGATAAATACTACACGGATACTATCAAAATATTTGGAAGCAAAAACTAAGAATATAAACAAATTCTCAATAATTAAATAATTAAACATGCTGAGATCTAGGAATATTAAAAACTCATTAAAAAATATTTAAAGGCTTAAAAGATTGAGGATAAAAAATAGAAAAGGAAATTAATAAACAAATCAAACTAAGAATAATTAGATGCACCTGAAATGGCCCAAACCTGAGTTATAAAGCTATGAGCACCATTTAAGCCTTTTTCTTCACCAGTATTAAATAAAATATGACGGAATTCTTAAATCCATGAGCCGATTGAGAAATTCCTCGAGCAAGCTCCAACATAACAGCTACACTTGAACGGCAATCACCAGCTCCTTCCCTGAAATATACAAAATGTGGTGAGCCTATTATTACTAAGAAAGTTTTCTCTAATATCAGATGAACTAATACAATTTGTCCAAGATCTTTGAATACAGGTGAATGAAGAACATAAACTAATACGTTGACTTTAATTAACTCTTTAGCCAAATTAAAATTTTCCAAGCAAGCTCACATTTCATTTTAATATTTCTAAAGGGAAGATGGGTGGAAGTTTAACATCTAAAATGATTCTTAATTTGATAGATTAAGCTAAGAAAACTATTCATATAAGAATCAAGACGAAAACTTTTGGTTTTGATTTTGATTTATGTTATTTAAATTTGTGAATAACATTATGTATGTAGTATGCGACATTATGTAGTGGCATAATTTTTGTTTTTATGAATTTTTATTTCTGTATTGTTATGAGTGGAACAACATTATGAATTTTCATTATTTGTCAACTTTTGTTTATGTATGTATTTATATTATTATGTAATTTTTGGATTTTTTTATAGTTATTTTTCATTTAATACAGGTTATTTTAATTTTAAAACTGCGGATCTCAAACACACTCTTAGGCTGTGCCCAATCTTGCACTGCCTCAACCTTGGATGTATCCACAGACACCCCTTCCCCGGAACCACGTGCCTAAGAATTTGACTTCCTCAGCCAGAACTCACACTTCCCAAACTTGGCATACAGCCTATGGCTCTAAGCATTCAAGCACCACTCTAAGTGTGCTCGTGCTCCTCCTCAGAAGCGATAGATAAGAATGTCGTCCACGAAGACGACCACAAATCGTCTAAGAACTCCCGGAATCCGGTTCATCAGTCCATAAAGACTGCCGGTGCATTGGTAAGCCAAATGGCATCACCAGAAATCTCATTAATGGCATATCGCGTACGGAATGCCGTTTTCGGAATATCCTCATCCCTGACCTCAACTGGTGGTAACCCGTCTCAAGTCTATCTTAGAGAAACAACGGGAAACCTTCAATTGGTCAAACAAATCATCTATACGGGGCATAGGATACTTATTCTTAACCGTAGCCCGAATTCAACTTCCGGTAGTCTATACACAATCTCAGCACCATCTTTCTTTTAACAAAGAGGCGCCGGTGCTCCCACGGTGAAACACTAGGGCGAACAAACCTTATCTAGCAATTCCTGGAGCTGAACTTTCAACTCAACAACTCTGCTGGACGCAAAACGTAAGGTGCCATAGAAATCGGCGCCTAGCAGGCACTAAATCAATAGAGAACTCTATCTCTCGGTGAGGTGGTAAACTAACAAGATCTTCGGGAAAAAACATCGAATACTCACAAACCACCCTCGGTAACACAACCTGGGTCTCACCACTCTCACCACCTCAAAGCTGACTACTAAGCTCACTTTGCCCTCGCGAATCATACCCCGGTGGCAAAACACTACCAACCCGGTATCCCAAGAAATGGAACCACTCCCCGCTCAAGGTACACAATGTAACCCTCTGGCGGTAGCAATCAATAACAGCCCGGTATGACGAAGCCAGTCCATACCCAA